CTTGCTTCCCCCATTTCCTTGCTGTAATAACGGAGCATGAGCTTGGCAGAGCTTTCCTTGATTATATGTCAGTAGCGTATGATTTGAGGTGGTCCATGAGCATTTGGAGTGCTGGAGCGTATCTCCACTGTCACCTCTGAGCCTGGGAGGGCTTACAAATGTCCTGGTTTAAAAACCAGGATGCCAAACCAGTCTTGTGCCCCAAATCAAGGGTCTGAACTGCTGGGCTCTGTACCGAGGAGCGAGGCTGTTGTCTGGGCTGGAAGAACTAACCCAAAAGCCAGGTTGGTTCAGTTAATACAGGTACAGAGAGAACTGACCTTTTCATGTAAGTCTTGGCTGTCTAACCTTTCCCCACCGGTTGTCTTTGGAGTCCACTGTCAGGTTTAATTCTGCTTCCTCCTGTACAGCCACCCCGGAGGGATACAGCGTGTTCCCAGCCTGCAAATAGAACTGTCGCTTGATCTGCACCGGTGGTGGGGGGGTTTCGCTTTGTCTCAAGCAGGGATGGAGTAGGCAGCTCTCCAAGCTGCTGGAGATGGGGGAGAGCCTCGGAGTTATCAAAGCACACGTCAGCTTGATGAGAGCTCCTGGCAGGGCTCCCTGAGTCGCTGCTACACATTCTCTGCTCGATCTTGTCAACTGCGATCTCAGGAGCACTGCTTAGAGATGGAGACTGTCCACAGAGAACAAAGCTGCTCCCACTGCGTACCCAGCTTTGCTCTACTGCAGATGTACAGGGCGTGAGCCCGTCATTATCCTGTGATAAAACACTTCCCTGTCTTTTCTGTGGCTACATCACGCTTCATAGCAAGGTACTGCTGAAGAACTTTTGCTATGGAAGCATTTCTCCTGTAATTGCACTTTGAAAACCAAAGACTTCCCTTGGTTTTCAAGGTTTTCTCTTTCATCCAGAGACCACACTGATCCTGCCTTTCTGGGCAGTATGGAGCTGGTGACAGATCCCAAGGGAACAGGAGAAGAATGGGGGGAAGGTGCTGTGCTTGCTGTGTGGGCCATGTCAGCTCTCTGGTTTTAGCCTCTTCCTCAGACATGAAGGACCTGGCGCAGCTCTGCTTAAAATGAGCTTAAAAAGCCCAAGGAAGGTATGGAGCATGCACTGCCAAACACCTGGACATGAAAAGAGACTTTAAGTAAAACTTCCTGCATCCATGTCATCACAGGAAGCACAAGGATGTGCAGAGGGCCCATCCCTATCTCTGAGACAAAGTGGATGGGTCTAGATGGGTGTCTGACATGGATATGTTGGGTTAGCATCCCAAAGAGCAGGGAGTGTTTGTGAGGTGGAGGAAGCAGGGGTGCCTCACCTGCAGGCAGGCCAGCACATACAGCACCATTAGCTCTATAGCAGTGCGCTTCCCCCTCCCTGGAGTCCAGTGCTCCCTTTCAGGGAGGGAGGTGACTGCTTCACCCAGTTTTAAATCACAAGAATGTGAGAACCGTTAAAGGCACCTCAGCACCAACAGTAAAAATGCCTCCCCCTTGGTTCATGGGGGGAGATTGTTCAAAAATCCCATGTGAAAGAACCACATCCGAGGAGCTGCAGGAAAACAAGGCATGAATGCAGCCAGTCAGGAGCGCTGCTCAGCTGATGTTCACAAGAAGGTTTCAACTCGCTCTGTTGGAGACCTCAGTAAACCTTACAGACAGAGAGAGCATTTAGAAATGCCCCTGAGGTTTTCCGTTGCTCTGCAGCGAGCTTGGTAAACATGCCAATAAATACTGGAAAGGGAGGAAGAAACCTTGCAGAGGAACAGACCCGGGTTTTGAGCTGCCCAGTCTGTTGCATCCACGGCTGCTGCTCCTGGTCTGCACTGGGGCGAAAGGGGCAGAGTTGAACTTTTGCTGAGGATTGGGCAGGGCTGCAGGTATTTGTGGGGAAAAGAGCTCGGAGGAGGCTGGAAGTTCCCTGCGGAGCCTCCTGGTCGGAGGAGGAAAGTTAACGGAATTCCGTCCGGCGTGGGGTGCTTGTGAGTATGGGAATCTGCTCTTGGAAGATGAGTGCGTGGAGCCCGTCTGTGTGGAGTAAAGGGGAGAAGCTCCAGGCATGCGGTGGGAATTGCTGCCTGGGTGGATCTGGGCTACCATAGCCCTGACTGATAGTAGCCTCTTAATTCTTCTAGCTACTTGTTTGAATGGTGCTGCATGCTAGACCAGCGGGATGGCAGAGTTGGGGGCTCTGTGGGGCGAGCGCTCAGCCCCAGTGCTGCCCGTGGCATCTTTGGGAAGAAAATAACTGAGTTGATGGCTCTATGGTTTCATGAGTTGGGTGGCTCTGAAGCTGGGGTTGAAACTCCTGCCTTCTTCTTCCCCTCTCAGCTCAAGTGAATGTGGAATCCACACGGTAACAGAGGAGCACCAGCACCAAAACAAGGGAAGAAGACAAATTGTTCTGCGTGCCCTGATTGCCGGGGCAGTCTCAGCTGACTGCGTTATTAAATTAGCAGAGGGGAAAGCAGGTTTTCTCAGCTCAGAGATTAATGCTTTCTGGCCAGCGGTTTAATGCTACTGCAAACATACAGAAGCACCTGAGGATGGAGGTGTGTAATTAAGGACCTTCAGCCCGGTGGCAATGATGGGTGTTTATCGAATCAGGCACATTTGGCTCCTTTCTTGCTTTCCTGGAAGTGGCCGTTAAAAGCCGCTGTGACGCACGCTCACTTCCAGGTGCTGGTTTCACCTCTTGGGCATTGCTTTGAAACCCAAGTGTAGCAGCTGATGGAGTGGTTGTTGGTGGCTTTTATTCCTGACCCATGTCGCTGCTCCACGCAGAAGACTCTAGGTTATTCTGTGGGAAGCCAAGAGCAGCTATAGCCATGTCCAGAATGCGCTGATGCCCACAGGGAGTGCAGGGGAGTGATGGAAGCTGGGTGTAGGGCTTGTGTCTCCCGCTAAGCTGGCTTCTGTTTAAGAGCTCTGGGTCCTCTCAGCTGAAAACACACATCACTGATGCCTTGGGGGAGTGTAATCTTGGGTGGCATTGAGGGCATGGAAGGGGAGTCCTGTACAGAGTGAAGCAGTGCCTCTGGCAGAGCAGTGGGTGGTGTCTGGCCACTGAGAGGGGTGCAGCTCTCCCCATCGTATGGTGGGAGGGGGCTTGGGCTTGATCATTTCAGCTGTCTTCATGGCTGAGTGCACATCCAGGCTGTGGTGATGGATGTGTTCAGCTACTAAATAACCCAGACCTTTCATTGGTGGCTAACAGCATGAGCCTCTCCCAACCTGCTCTAAGGAGGTTCATAAACATAAGGTACTTTATACAAGATCTTAGTAAAACTAAGTGAAGACTGAAATAAGAATGGTGAAATGAAGAGTTCTGTGTGCTTTGTGGAGGGCAGCAAAGTCCTTTCTTCCTGCCTGCTCCAAAGGGATGCAGCCCCATGTCTGAACCCTCGCCAATGGCAGCAGCACTCGCTGACCTTCCGGAATGAGATCCTGTTGTTACTGAACTGCTGCCAAGCGAGCAACTGGCTTTGCCTTGTGGAAAGGGGGAGCGTTTGGAAGACATGATGGCTGCTTGTCGTTGGGTTTTCCTTGCTCTCTGCGTATTCACATCCATGTGTTCTGGGCCTGATGTCAGTCCCTTCTGAACCCAAAGCCTCATAACTGATTTGCTGATGTGAGTCTTTATGGCTGCAAAAATAAATCACTTTAGGGGAGTGAGGGGCAGCGAAATGAACTTTAGGCCATTTATAGCTAAGATGTGATGTATGTGCATGACCTTTAGTGAAGTCCCAGCTGATCTGAGCTTGTCTCGTGTCTCGTGGAGCTGAACGCAGTTGAACTTTCTGAAGCACTGGTGTCTGCTGCCTGGTGGCTTTTCCATCTAATCCCCATGTTCCGCGTGCAGACTTGACCTGGTTTCTGAACGCTGTGCTTTCTCTCTCATCAAGTTTGTCCAGTGAGCACTTGGTGGCACCATGGTTAGAATGGGGTCTGTGGGTGCTGCTGTAGCATAAGCAGTGGTGCTGGGAATGGGGGAATCTTTAGGTTTGGTGAGTTTGCTGTTGCAGGAGCCACACAGCGCTCTGTGGTTTCCGTTCTCAGGGTGATGGGTTTCAATTCGCATGCATTCATTCACCCTCCCCCAGGGCTTTCCCTGGAGCTTGGAAGTTGTTGTGGGATCTTGAGGTGACGGCTTTGGGTGCTGCCGTTGGGCATCGCGTGGTGCTCAGCTAAACAGAACCTTACGGAAGGATCAGGGAAGGAGGGCAGGAGAGTGGAGGGGCAGAAGTGGTAAGGACATGGTAAAGGCATCCTAGGAGCATCGTGTAACCCTGGCTGTTAGCGAGCAAGCAGCAGCAGCTGGAAGCAGGCTGGAGGGAGCCAGGGATGTAAAGGAGAGCTTAGCAAGCAGGGGTCCGAAGTGAACTGTGTTTCACCCACTCTGTTATTGCTGGAATGAAATCTCAAACAGCTGTTGTGAATGCTGCCAAATTTGGATTTCTCTGTCAGGTTCAAGGCAAGGTTTTGCTCCTCTTATGGCTGAACCTATGATAGAAAATATTTGCCCCTTCACTTCCTTTTCTAGCCCTTGTGACTGTAGAGAAATCTCAAAGCTGCATCCCAGACACATTTTTAAGTTAGAAACACAAAGCAACAAATGCACCAAAGTATTAAACTGTGGCTTTGATCTCATTTTGCCATGCCAGTCCCGTGACTTTTGTGGTTTAGATGGGGCTTGTCACTCCTGAATTCCAGAGGCCTCATTTGAGATCAGGGTTGCAGTGTGACCCTGCTACTGGTCTGATAGCACAAGCTTCCCACTGCTCTCACTGCTGCTGACTGTGCTATCATAGACCCAAAGCAATAGAGAAGCCCCCCACATGTGAGTCTTAAGGATGGCACAGCTGCAGCATCCCATCCCTTTGCCTTTGTAGTTAACAGGAGCAGAGCATTCTGCATTGAACTTTGTCTGTGTGACATTAGTGCTGCCAGTGCAGGACACCCTCCTGATGTGAGAGTGCGTTGTTTTGCAGGAGCCAGGCCAAAGAGACTCCAAAGGAACAGCATGGACAGCTTAGACCTCCTGAAGTTCCCTTCTGAAAAGGTAAGCAAAGATGTCTGGCCTCAAAGATGAAGTAGCAGTAGGAATCTGTAATGGCTTGTTGACTGGCTTCATTTGCAGGGAAGTATGCAATTAGCAGATATCATTGGAGTCAATGGGATTAACCAAAGAGGGTTTCTAGAGAGCTTGGAGGAGAGGAACAGCTGGTCTGACTGAAAAGGCACTTAACTGAAAGCTGAAAAAGCCACTTCTGTGCTTTTTTGCAAACCCAGCCCTTCACTGAGAGGATAATGGTTAGCATTTTAGCCCCTTTAGTGGCTGGTGGCAAATCTCAGTGCCTTATTACCCCAGCAGAGCAGACAGGGGAGGAGAGGGCAGAAGCAGGAGCTGGTGTGTTGCAGGAGGCAGAGGGGTTTGCTCCAAGGGGCTCTAAGGATTCCCCCTGCTCCGGCTCAGTGCTGGCAATGTCAGACCCACCAGCTCAGCGTTTCCTCAGTGTCCCCAGGGCAAGGGCTGTTTCCACAGTGGATGCTTTGAGCCTTTCCACCCCCAGGGATTGATTGAACGTCTCAGGAGATCCTGCACAGGATCACCTCGTGTGCCCATTGCCATGGGGCTTGCTCATGCTCTTTCCCAGAGAAGGTGGCCAGGCAGGCAGCTGTGCCCTGCCTTTTGGGAATGGCTTTGGCACAAATGATGTTCCTTCATCCAGTGCTTCCAGGCACTCTCCTGAGTGTCCAGGGAGGGGTTCCCTCTTACAGGAGTGTTGCAGAGAGAACAAAGCTTGCCCAAGTTGCAGGAAGGTGCAGTCAATGGGAAACAGCCTCACGCTTGCAAACCCACTGAGTGCCTAAACCTCCCAGTGAGCACTGGGAGGGCCAGGGAAAAGCTCCTCCCTGAATTAACTCATTTGGGGAGCTAAATGTCAAACATATTTATGCATTTTTGTTAATTCTCCCAACTGCCCGTTGGCCATTTTGGCTCTGAGCTGCTTTAACCCATTGACTCCAGCTCCAGGGTGCTGATAGTGGCAGGGGCAGTGATAGCTGGTGCCAGGGAGACATTTGACTATGTATCCTCATTGCAGCAGCACAACCCGAGGACTGGCAAGGAGAGTTGTGCTGATGTGTGATTTGCTGTTAATGCTGTTGGTTTCCTACTCTTTGCTGTAAAAGCTGAAGCTGGTTCAGTAGTTCGGGCAGGTTATGGGATCTCAGGGGTTTCACAGGGAGGATGGAGCAAACGGTGCTGTGGGTACTCTGCAGTCAGATGTGAGTAGTCCTCTTCCCCCTGCAGTGGTCCTGAGGGGTGCGTGCAGGTTCACCTCTCCTTGCAAAAGTGCTTTGGATGCAATTCCACTTCCTCTGTCCCAGTGCAGCTCCCAGGAAGGGTGATTACACTCATGGAAGAGGGCTGTTGGCTTCAAGCTTGCAATGGTGAGGAATCAGTCAGCAGAGTGAACTGTGATCAGTCCAGCACCCTCGTTATCACCTCACCCTTTGCCCACTGTCTGTGCCAGAGACAGCCTTCGAAGTCCTCAGGGAATCCCATAACCACCCAGGTCAGTTGTCCAGTGCCCCTGCACAGAGCAGTGTCTGGGCAGTGCATCTCCAGAGGCACCCACGTCTGTTCTGAGTGTGGCAGCAGACAGCAGGACCACTGCTTCCCTCATCATCCTTGTGCAACCTGTGCCTTATTCCTTGTTTTGAGCTTCTCTGGTTTTAGCTCGCAGCCATTGGTTCTTGTTTGTTCCTCTCTATGAGACAAAAAATCTCTTCATCACATGCTGGCTTTCACCCTGAAGGTTCTTGCTTGCTGTAATTGAGTCATCTATTCTTTTTGTCAAGAACTAAGTGGTCTGAGGCTCTAAGGCAGTAAGGGCATTGTAAGGCAGTTTCTTTCCAGTTCTGAAATCCACTTCTGTAGTTGCTTTTCAAAATGCTGATGCCAGCCTGGCTGCAGTTGGTCCCATCAATAGCATTCAGGGGAATCAATCTCTCCTTACTCCTTCGTGATATTCCTGTTTGTATTGCAAAGAATGGAAAAGCTATTTTGGCTACAGCATCTCAGTGTGCTGGTGATGTGCTGTGACTTCAGATCCTGTTCAGTATTGTTGGCTCTTTGGTCTGTGTGCCCTTAAATCCCAACCCCCTGGGCCCTTGGTCATCTCCTGGGCTTCTTTCTCCTGTCTGTAGTTGCTGCAGTGAGGACACCCTGGGGCATCCCCTCAGTGCTTTATGTATGATAACAGGGTGGTTTGCAGCCTGGAAGCACTGAAGCCCAGAGCATTAAGCAGGTTTAGGCACTCAGTTCCCACCAGTTAGATGTAAAGTGGCTCGTGCCTTTAGTAAGTGTCTTTGGAGCTAAATGCTGAATATTCCTGGTGCTTCTGTAGCAGGGCCTCATCTGCCTGACAGCAGTAATGAGGCTGTTATGGTAATACAGGCAGGGCCATTAAACTTGAGTCTTTTGACAGAGAAGGGATAGAGTTGTGCATGTCTTATGGGAAGGGGGTGAGAATGGGAGAGCAAGGCAGAGGGTAGGGCCTCGAAAAGGGGCTGCAGTGGGAAGGGACAAACGCTTCAAGAAACATGTAGCCTCTGCCATCTCACTTTGCTCATGCATTATACAGGGGTGATCATCCTGTGTTTCATGTCCATGGGTGCACTGAGCACAAGCGTTTCAGGGAGCAAAGGAGGACAGCAGTGAGAGAACAGGGGACGGCTTGTAACTGTCTGCTGCAGTTAGTCATGTTAGCCTGCAGCCCCCATGTGCTTCTGGTAGCATGAGAAAAGAGCAGAATGGGACTCCAGGCATTCGTGTTAATCCGCCTTTTAGGAAGCTGTTGGGTAAGGGCCCTACTTGCTGAGAGCAGTGGGAGACAGTGAGGCAGACAATGCTCCATCTGTGCTGGGAGCCAGCTCCTGGAGGTAGGAAATGCTGTGGAGCATCCAGGAAAGCTGTGTTCCCTGGGGCATGGTTGGGTTATCCACGGTTTGGTGTAGGCTGCTGCATGGCTGGGCGCTGGGAAGAAGTGAAGATACAACAAGTGGAGGGACTTGTGCCAAGGGCTTGGTATCCTGGGCAAGATGAGCTTGCCACTGCTTAGAAGAGGCTTTTGAGTGTGGTTGCCAGAAATCCCTAGCAGCAGTGAGTGCTTCTGGACCTTTCATCCCTCATTCCCCATGCCCATAAACCATATGACTCTACCTGTATACCTGGGGTTTTCAGAGAATGCTGCTGCTCCTAGTGGAGAAGCTGATTACTGTGTGTTGCTTGGGTGATGCTTCCTCTCCACTCACTAAAACCATGTGCTGTAGGGATAGATAAGATGTCCTCACTCAACCCAGCTCATGAGGAGTGGCAGCTCACACCACCCGAGCTCCACATTAACTTCTTGCTTCTGTCTCCTGTTCTGTGGATGCTTGCCAACAGATCCCCACATAAACCAGAGGCAGGCAATTTGTGCAATGACTGTTTCTTGCTTTCCCAAGGACCAGAATGGGGACAGCCATCATGTGGGAGACCTGAAGATCTCAGGGAAAGAGTTCTTGTTGTTGCCTGCGAGGTCAAAGAAATACCGGGAGCACCACTGCAGCTCGGAGAGGAAGCCCCCGGGCTCAAGTCCATCACCACTGGATGCCAGCGAAGTCCGAGTCCAGGTCTCTCAGTCGGTAAGAAGATGATGCTTTTCTTCTAGTACTGATCCAGGAGTTTCTTACAGTGTGTTGGTTCTTAACCTCATTTCTATCCTGCTCTGGGGTAGTGCTGTGGCTGGAAAACAGAGCCCGCATCTAGCTCTGTTGGGCAGCTATAGACACATTCTGCTTTTCTGAGCCTCCATCATGAGCTAGTTTATGAGAGCTTGATATTTAATGGTGGTATTTGTAACCTTCTCCTGAGGGACTGGAGTCTAGACCTGAGCCTTCCTGAGTATGGGGCTCTCAGGATGCGATGACTCCAATTCCAAAAGAACACAGCAATTGGGATCCCCTGCTTTGTGGAGCCTGACTTGATCAGCCCTCTGGGGCCCATGAGGGGCAGGCTTGTGGCTTTCAAGAAACAAAACCCTTTGCAGTGTTTTTGATGAGCAACCAAAAACACTGCTTGCCATTGCCAAATCTAGGACCTTAGGAACTGTTCTCTCTCATGTCCTGATCGCACTGATGGTCTCCAGAGTGGCAATGGGCAGAGTGGGCTCTTTGAATTCATCCATCATTAGGGAGAGATGATGAAAATCATTGTCTGGAAGCAAGTTAGGTGGAGCGTGCTTCCTGAAGAGCAGGAGCTGGCCCCAGTGTCAGTGTTTTGTGGGTTACTGGCATGCAGCAAATCCTGTGCTGGTGTTGAAGAGCTCTGACTCAGTCTGTGCTTGGCTCCTCTGAAGGTGGTGGGGCTCCGTGTCCTGGAAAGCTCTCCAGGGGCCTTTTTGATGTCTTTAGCTCTTTGTTAGGCTGCTATCTTCTGGTTGTGTTGATGTTTATGTTGTGACACACAAATACAATGTGCTGGGGAGGGCTCCTGCAGCTGTGTTGGTTTTGCTCTCAGTCCTGGAGATGGGGATCACACCCACAGAGGATGGCATGTGTCTGGCTCATGGGAGGGGATTTTGAGACATCAGAACGTGGTGATCTCAAGCGAGAAGACCCAAGTCCTCAGCTTGGCGTTGCCAGGAGATAGGGAGCATAACAACAAAGATTTAATGAGTGCATGGGTGCTTGAGGGTGCTTGGGCTCTTGCTTTATCCTGAGACTGTCACAGTATCACAGCACTGCGATCATGCAAAGATTCCGGATGGAATCAATCCAAGCCAGGAAAGAGAGGCCTATTTTTTTTCCTGGCATTTAGGAAAAGCAAAAGAAACTATTTTCATGCTGCGTAAGAAAGGGTCTGAGCTGCAGAGCTTGGGATGAAGCCTGTCTGTAGAGTGGGGATGCTCCAAGCATTCAGTCCTTTGTTCCTGGTCTGAGGATCACAGGGCGAACGCATCCTGCTGTACCTGTGTGCATGTACATATGTGCATAGCCCTCTCTGACCACAGGCGTTGCTGGTTTTCAGCTCTGGTCACTGGAGGCAGGATCTTTACACCAGCTGGGTTTTTTTAGACTTCTCTGAGTTCATTCTTTATTCCCAGAGGTGCTTATGGAAATGGTCTAATAGGAAAAGTATTTCCTACTGCTCACCGGTGCAAACACGATCATTGAGAAGGAAAACAAAACTCATGTGAGCCAGGAAGGAGACAGCAGCATGGGGGCATGCAAGGCAATAGAGAGGCAGAAAAAAAAACCCACTTCTGCCAAAAATAGCCTTGTATTTTTAACTCAGACGTTCAGCCAGGAGCCAAACAAAAGCCACACTCTGTCAAGAGCAAGGCAAAAAGCATTCCTCAGGGTGTAGCTGTGAGCACATAGGCTGTGTCTAAGAAAAAGCCCCATGGGACTCTGCCAACCACCAGTGACCTTGTGAGAGTACACATGGGGTTTGGTGAATGTCCATGAGCGAGCAAGGGAAGGCAGGGACACACAAACCCAGCGGCAGGAGGTGCCTCTGCGGGCTGTGCTGCTCCTGACTGATGGAACTGTGTGAGCAGGGGAGGGATGTGCTGCTCCTCCCCTCCTCCAGGGGATGGGTGACCACCCAGCAGGGACTCACAGCGTACAGAGGGGAGGCTCAGGCTCCACCTGGCTCCTGCAGTCATCTGCTGTGCCTGGTTGTTCTCCTGAGGCCTTTCCCCTGCGTGCCCTGACTTTCCTCTCTGTGTGTGTGTGTGTGAGCTCCCCACTTGCCCTGGGTTTGTGAGCTGAGCCCTGGGAGCCCGTTTTCCCTTCAGTTCCCAGGCACTCCTGGTGCACACAGGCTTGGAACCGAGTGAATTCAGCAGGATACAGAGCAACAGTGTGTGGAAGAAAGTGACATCTTCCTCCTTGCACAGACTGAATGTCTCGGTTTGTGCCCCAAAAGAATAGATCAGTGCACACTGCAGTGGCTGGGGGAGAAGGGTAACTGCTTGTCTTATGTCTTAAAGAACGCCCCTTCTTTGGTATCTAATGGACCATTGTCCATATCCCATAAGAATGACAGTGACAAGTGGTTCATTGGGTTTCCTGCAGGCCAGTAGCTTCTCAGAGTTACACAGCTTGTGTACAGGGCTCGTGCTCTTTGTAGGTGAGTGTTCAGGTGAATTCTGGTTTGTGTTGGTGCTCAGCTGGCGCTTGTGCCAGCCTGAGCCTGTAGCATAGGCCAGAACAGTTGAAGTCAACGTCGTCTTGCCAAAAGCAAAGCAATCCATTCCTTGAGTTCTGCTTTTTGTCCCTGTCTGCTGGGGCTACCTGGGCTGTGCCAGTCTGTTATAGGGGACTGTGAGTGCTGTAATTCCCATCCATGGGAAACTTCTTAATCAAATGTAGCAGATCCCAAGCAGGATGGAGAGAAGCTGTCTCTGGTCAGGCTGTTGAGACCGGAATCCCCCCCGATCCCTCATTCTGTGAATGCTCAAAGCAAAAATCCTCTTTAACCCATCAGTAAACAGAGAGTCCTTAATTAGAGGTGAGGTCTAGCGACTGATCAAGGATGCTTTTATGGGATGCCACAGTAGCTGCTGTCCCAGCAGAAGGGGTGACCTCAGACTGCACACGTGGGGCTCTGCGCTCCTCTCCCACGGTCTTTTTGCAGGGGGAAACTGATGCCCGGGAAAAACCCTCATCCCAGGGCTCCCAAGCCCAGTGTTGTAATCCCTGGGTGAGTGCTGCTGCCAGCACAGCCACCGACCTCCTTCCAGAGGGCCCTGGTGCAGCAGCAGGGCTCTGGCACAGGGAGGTCCTGCGGGTGCGGTGCCTGAGTCAGAGCTCCCGGGTTCGCTGCCCATCTCTGCCTCTTGTTTACCTCCCTCTTCCCCGTCTGTGTGGTGGGGTAATGCTGCTTCCCTGCCTACCCTGGGGAGGTTACAGAGGCGTGATGATGGCTCTAAAGCTGTTTGAGCTTTGGATGGCAGGAGCTGTGGTGGTGTTATTAGCAGTGGTGGTGATGATGATGCTAATTACTGAGCTGCTGGGAAACTCCCCATGGGAGGAGGTGGGAGAGGGAAAAGGAGGCGAAGTGAGCTCGGGGATGGAGAGGAGCCTGACCCTGCTGGCAGCTCTGTTGGACCCTGGGAGAAGGGCTCAACCAGTTGGTGGAGCCGTGGGGATGCTGGGATGGATGGGAGAAGCCATGGCTCAGCTGCTGCGTAAGGTAGGAAGCGTGCCAGGGCCTGTGGCAGGTCCCTCCGTGAGGCTTAGGCATTCCTGCCACTGCTGTGCAGGATGCTGGTGTGGAACCCAATGGAGAACCCACGCAGGAGGGGCACAGCAATGGGCTTCCTTACCTCTCCTATGGCCCTTAAGTGGGGGAATTTCCCAGCCGTGGCTGGTGGTCACTGGGAAGAGAGGGACCAGCACAGCCTGGGTCTGAGAGATGGGAAAGGGCAGGGTCCTCCTCACCTTTGAGGTCAGGTCTGGAGCTCCCATGGGAATACTCAGGGCTGTGAGTACCTGGTTCTCCACCGGCAGAGCAAAGGTGGGTTTGGTGTGGGAGAAGCTGGTGTGGGTGTGAGGTGTTTGGTCACATTTTCGCTCTGCTGCAGTCGAGCCTTAAGCAAAAGTAGGTGCATGAGAGCTCAGTCCTTGTGCCTGTAGTTGTGGGTGGCCAGGTCCGGGTGCTCCCTGGGGCTCATGTACTGCGCACCTTGAGTTTCCTCTCTTTTCAAAGGAACATCAAAGCAGAAGGTTTTGTACCACGTGAAGCTTGCAAACATCAAAGGCTTGCTCATGAATTTAACCTCTCTGCTCTGCTGGGGAGAAGGTCAGAACGCTCCAGCTCTCAATTGACTTGGGGATTGTGTTTGAGAGGGCTCCTGGAAGGATGGGATTCTGCTAGCACTTGAGACAGGTTGTGTCCCCCTCACCATCCCCTCAGAAAGAGCAACCATGGTGGAGAAAGGACAGGGTCCATGGAGGAAATGGGCTGTTTATTCTGTGTGGTGAGGGGCTAGGGACCTGCCCCAGTTCTGGCCTTGAGTTTAAGCTCAGCACTGAGCTGAAGTTTCTAAGGCCAGTCAGACAGAGCATGTGCCAGAGTTCAAGGACTAAAGCAGTTTATTGCATCAAGATCCAAAGGCTGGAGGAAAACCATGGCAAGAGGTAAGGATCAAACCCAATCCTCTCCCCTCCTTGGAGATCTGTGCTCTAGAAATGGTCTGTTCATGTGGACTCTCCTCTTCCCAGTGCATCAGCTTGAGGGAGTGCTTCCTCACTCTTCAAAACTGTCCTCAGCAAAGACCATTTATAGTCAAGAGAAAGAGGAGCAGTTTGATTGCAGTGATGACTTGCAGAGATGGGTTGCTGATGTATTTAGACACTGAACGATTTGCAAACACGCTGCATCGCCAAACATTCCCTAGGACAAATGTTTTTATAAGACCTTTTTTACGATTACAGTGAGAAACAACCATAAAAGAAGGGGAAATTGTGTAAATCACATTTCCCCACCCCAAAGGCAGGTTGCCAGAGCAATTCCAATGGTTTTCTCCCTTGTGATGTACAAGGAGATTGTCAGCTTATGGCTGACTCTGCCTGGATCCATCCTGGTGTCAGTGGGCAGGGAGCAGAGCTGGAGGGCAGCGTAGCAAAGCGGGCAG